ATCTACTGAAACAGGCAATTGCTGAAATGGCTTTGGTTTCATGAGAATATTGCCTTTAACCCTCTTAATTCTCTTCTTAAATGCACATCGCTGCATCTCTGGGAAAAAAAAATGCTACTGAGTAAACACATCCAGCAGTAGATTATGACAAAGACCACTGAGCTTTTCAGATCAGAATGTAACATTTCACAATATTTTTCAGTCTTGCTGATCAATTTGAGTTCCAACAAGTTCTGACTCCACCAAAAAAGTTTCTAACTTTATAGGGAAGGAAAAAAAAAAAAAAAGAGCTGCCAGTGTTATTTCTTGCTGCGCCACTTGACTTTTTTTTTGTTGATGGTTTTTTGCCTAAGACAGACATGCTGGTAAAGATACTTTACCAGAAGTAGAAGAATTTCCTTTTGGCTCACCCGCTTCAGACAGGCTGACATGCCCTCCCCATGCCCCATCAGATTTCAGACTCCACAAGAGTCTCACTCCTATTTTCTGTCAAACAGTTCATAGAATAGCGAAGCAAACGTTGCCACAGGCTAGGTTGGTGAAGGAGAACATGCAAAGTCCACTCATTGCTACTCTTCAGTCCAGCTACAGCACTGTACCAAGCCCAGTATACCGCAAGGAATACTTCCTTTATACAAAAAAGTTCTGTCAGTAAGTCACAGGCACTTCTGAATGTGGCAGGGTGGATCCTTGTCAGCAGAGACAGTGGTAGTAAATATCATTTTAGAGAAAACTTTTCCCCCCAGAGATTGGCAGCTGCGTGAACAGACTACTGCTGCCTTTATTCTGAAGGGCAACGCATCTGTACTTTACAATTCCCTTAAAAGAATGTGCAGGCTGTTAGAAGTAAAAGTTTAGAAGCTGAAACTAAGATAATAGCAATTAATTGTTAGCACATACAAACACTAACTTTTATTCTCACTTGTCTGACACTGTATACCCACCTTCCGGCTGTACCTCATGTAGGGCATCAGGGGCTTGTCTGGGGGTTTGGGGGGCTTTGGAATGGTAATACCGGAGGAAGCCTATAAAAGAACCGAATAAACCCATTTGTTAATGTGATCACTGGACAGTTTCCACACACAGTAGTTTTGGAAAACACTCATTCTTGTGCAGTTAGCACAAACCAGCTACACACCCCCCAAGAGAAGCAAGCAACATGGCCACAAAAATTACCCAAACTGCACAGGCACTAACTACAGCTGGTCCTCATGGTGATTTTTTTCCAATTTAAGTTTGTCCTTTTATCTGTAAGTTTACAGAGCAGTAACTAGATATATCTTCAAAAGGGGTCCATATTCTTAAAACAGAAATACACAGCTTAGAAATTTACGTGGAAACACCGATCCCAGCAGGTTGCTTTTCTCATTTCTGATGAACAACTTATTTTACCTGTTTTGAAAAAATTTAATGTGGCTACTGTACAGGTGAAAAAAGATCAGGAGAAAGCTTAAGATCATGAAGTTAGAGACATATTTTCATTTTCAAATCACTTAGCAATATATTTGTCTGCAAAATTTGTCAGTGGTAATGTGGAGCCAATTAAATTACTCATTGTAAAAAGAAAACAATGCTATGCAACTGATCTGCCACTGCGTGCACTATTTGTATCCAAGCTGTACTTAACTGTCCAAATTAGCCTTTAATATCCTTCTGTGCTCTTCTCTTCCTTTAGGTTTGTACGTCGTCAAGCACATTGCTGGCACTAAACAGGACACTGAGCACTACGTGTTGCTGATGGAAAGTTGCTGCATCCCCTCTTGTCCCCTCAATCTACAGAACACCGACAGGGTTTTCTTCTAAAATAGTGCAATGATGCTACAGTCCCTGTCAACTGCAGGTTCTGAAAACCTCCACTCTTCAAGCACTTACACATGCGAGGAGTTCTATTCTATTAAGTGGGAGCATTTTCATAAAAATATAAAGCAGTTTCAAGATTTTCCAGAACTACGGCCACAGATCAGCAACTATGTGGGTTTGGCCAAGCAGGCCCATGTTCAGTGTCGGGCTTTCAAATCTTTCCTCTTGATATTTTTTGTTTTGCTGAATTTATGGAGCTCTATGAAACAATGCATACAGAATTGTGTATAAATAATGTACATGAGGAATATGCATTACCAAAATGTATACATATATACACATACAGATGGATTTGAAAAACATTAACGGAAATTGTTTAATGCCTCTAAATTAACAGGAATTTAACAACACCATACATATATTGATATATGCATGGCAGAGAAGGCTGTATATGCTTGTGACATACAGAAACAACGACAAGGTCTCAGACAAAACCTAACTTCTTCTTGTATAAGGAAAAAAGTATATGTTCAGACAGCATGTTCAGTCAAGTTCCAGCTGGTATGGGGAAGGCTTTTTCCATAAACATTTTAACAAACCAGACGAACTTCATACATGAAGTCTGATAGAAGGTTTATGAGAGGCATAAAAAGAGTATACTTCATTAAAAGCACCATATATTTGTTCCTTGAGAAATGTTCATATCACATTCCAAACTAATCAAGTGTTTTGAGAAAGTTTTACACGAAAAACCTTGAATTATGAGAATTACAGAAACTAAAAAAAAAAAAAGGGGTATTTACTCTATGTTGTGTTTGTTATAAAAATGTTATACTTCCACAGTCTATCTCTGTTTCCTAACTGCGTCCAATGCTCAGGACTTTATCTGTATTTGAAAGAAGCTGTCATCTCTCTCATCCCTTAATTCCATCTCACTTTGTTTACTCCATGAAAAATGAATGTAACATCCATTTTCCACACACTGACAGAGTACATAAGATCTGAAAGGATTCTAGTTTATCATCATCATCACACTTCTGTTGAAAAAATAATTTCTGAACTTGGGACTTTACAGTTATTACCAGACTAAGACTGGAAAGAAAAATTAAGGCTCACATCTCCTGCATGGCTCAACAGTATGATGCAACTACTATCAACGATCTCCAGTTTGAAAAATGTTCTTCCTTATTTTTGTGCCAAAGAACCTCCATAAAATGCACAGTTCCCTCCCTCCAAGAACTTGTACCCATGCTATAGAGCTTTTCCCTAAACAGGCAGTGGTCACTGAAGACCACAAAGTCTGTCTTACTGGAGTTCTGCATCATACACGATTACCACATTTTTTTCTCTGCCGAGTAGAAGTCCATTTTCCTGCAAAAGGCTTCAGAGTGAAAGGGAAGGGGTAGGGGTGGGGAATAAGAATCAGAAGTAATTTTTTGTTTTTATAAAGAAGCGGCAGCTGACAAGACTCAGAAGAACCTAACTCTAAAGCCATTTCTGGTCAACTCCTGTTGTTTGCCGGATGATGTAATAGTTGATTCTCCTACCGTGACCCGGCTGTTGGTGCCCGGGTTCCCTCCCAGCCTGTAGTTGTTGTAGGCCAGATGGCTGTATGGATTGTATCCCACAAACCCTGGTGTGCTGGGCATTTGCTGATGGAAACAAATGAGACAAAAACACGAATGAGAAATGAGCTCAAACGAGGAAAACACAGAAATGAAAATGAACTGCAATATGGCATGCAAAAGCAACCAGAATTTAAACAAGCAAATGAGGTGTAGCAGTTGGTATCTTCTCAACACACAAAACTTACTCCAGTACAAACCTATTACGGAAATAGGATTTTTAAGCAAACGTGTCACTACAGATTTCTGTCTGAAGTCAGTGATTTTATTTCTATTAAGTGTGTAATTCATTTAAACAAGTATTCTATAAATCCAGCTCATGGCTAACAAAATTGTCCAACATAAGCCACCAAGTAATTCAGGAAGACTCTTATATCCAACAGGTTAAGGTGACAAGGCAACACAGCACACAGTAATCGGGCAGAAATCCCCAGTATTAACATTTCCTATAATGAAAATCCCTGTCTGCTTTTCTTCCTATCATTCTGCCTTTCTGACAACCATTACTGCAAATAAATCGGGGGAGAGGGGGGAATCTCTCCAAGAACCATCTGTGCACCACTATGAGTATTTGAAGACTTTCCTGGTGGTTTGCAAAATTTAAGTGTTTTCAGGAACTAGGATTAGAAAGCTGGGAGAGAAGACAGCTCAGAGATACCCTTCTGAAGGGGTTCTAGGCTGCAGGCTGACAGAGCTAAGGAACCACTATAGCAAGATCTACAGGTTAGAAATTAGACTAGTCTTAACAGGTCACCAAATCCAACACAATTTCAGAAGTTAATCAACACATCTTTATCCATTCTTGAAAGTGGATCGCTTTGTTCGCACTTCAGTAACGTAGAGAAGAATCTAATTTCTTTACAATCCCTTCTTACCTATCATCTCATACAATCAAGTATCAGGAGATTCACTGTATTCCCCTCCTCGCATAAACCTCTTTCCTGCTTTCTTCCACTATCCCCCTCTTCCCAGTCTAGTTTTGCTGGAAAAGATGGATCAGCTATTTCACAGTACTTGTGACCAAGTCCTGACTGTGGTGGTCTTAGCATTCCATCAGGACTCATGATATCCTGCAGTGTTTCTAGACATTTAGGTGTCATCCGCAGAGCATCCCGCTCTTTAGTAGCACTTTGGCCCTAATAAGCAACACATATTCCAACAGTCTTTTGAAGTGATTTGCTGACCGGACCCATTCTAGATTACAGTCACAAGAATTCCACCAACAGGTGCAGGACTCCAGGAACCAGGGTATGACAAATATTGAACAAACATAACCTAGAAGCTGAACTACATTAACTTGTGAAGTTTTCAAGTGTATGTAGACGCACTGTAGTTAGTTTATTTCTCAACATACAAATACAGAGTAAAGTTATCCTTTAACAGTCAGCCTTCAAATATACATTTTATTGCCAAACTCCTTAAACTCAGTCACAGCAGCTGGCATTTACTCGATCTGTATGCCTGTGATCATGACACACACATTCACTATTTAATATGACACCATTTTACTGAAGTTTTCTGTGTTACCATGACAACAGGTTTTGAATATGTTGAACTACACCTCTTCAATAAAACCAGATGATAACTGTAATCTCCGCCTGCTTAATTCTTTATTTCTGCAAGACAGGATTTAAATGTTACAAGGGAACTACCTTGCATCACACGGAGAATTTTTACTTCAGCTAGAATACTGTAGTTATGAGAATTACTGGTATGTTGTTGACTGTAGTAACTGGAACTGGCTGTGGAAGAACAAGCGAGGTTATTTGTCTACTTATGACTTGTGTTAACAGAGCAGAGACTATCATCTCAAGGACTGTGCAAAGTAATACAGAAGATGCTTGAAAGACAGGTAAAGCATGTCAGTAGTGGCAGTTTTGAAGCTTGTTTCATGTACCATTCTAGAGGCTTCCAACTTGACTAAAGAATGTACCACGTCAATGTACACTGTTTAACAACATCTGCATCCATGCTGCGTCCCAGAGAAATCACACATGCACACGCACAGCTCTTGCTGTAGGAATCCAGTTGTAAGAGTGGATGCCATGATGTTCCTTCTAGTACTAACACAAATCTATTAAGTTGTGTGCACAACGAACACTTTGAACAAACTACGCAAATCAAGTTTTATTTCTGTAAATTTATAAGACTGTAAGTTACATCTATACATTATATAATTTTCAAGCCTCTTTAAATGTAGAGTATGACACAATAAATTTGAAGGATCACACTTCATCTAAATCCCATCCTGCAATTTTATCCCAGATGCAGAGATCAGGGACAGTCTACTGAATAACAGTTCTCAAATTCTCTTTGCTAAAAATTTTCACTATAGCATCTTTGCTCATTCTTCCATACAAAATATTTGTATTTTCTCATGTGAGTATATTACTCCTAAAATGCAAGCTATTTAGAAATGTGAGCACTGCAGCAGAGATGCATTTGCTCTCAATGCTTTCCTCACCACAGCACACTGGCATTTCAGTACCTTTTTATACATGCACGAATGCAACTGGACATCATTCACAGCTACTGTTTGTGTTCTCCTTAGTGTCATTCCACACCATTTTACTAGAAAGTAAAAATATTTCTCATGCCATAGATCCCAAACTTCCAGTGATTTCAATAGATTTGAATAAGACTGGCATCATCAGTGTTTCATTATTCTGACCAATATAACAGAATTGTGCACACTCCTGTATTCCACTGAGTATCAGCTAGGTACAGAAACACAAAAAAAATGCAGTGTCTGCCCATGAGTCAGGCACAAGCAGAGTGGGAAGTTCTAGAATTACATATATCAGTTTGTTCTTAAATAGTCCAGTGTTCTGTTGCAACCCACTGTGAATACAATTTCAGACCAACAGACTGCTTACAGAAAATTAAGCATCTGCAGGGTCTAGCCTTAAAGGTGAAACAACTTTATTCAGCTTCTCGCTCACAAACTGCTTAAAAAAAAAAAAAAAGAGATTAATTTAAACAATGCATATCACATTAATAACAAAATACGAGTCTGTGCTTCCAACACAGGAAGGTGATACAACTTCGTAATTATTGCTCTGTTGAGTTATTCAATGTTATATTACCAGCTCTGTGTTAATGAGAAAAATCACTATACTTACGGTTGCAGGAGCTGGGGTAGGAGGTGGGGCATAAGACGGCCTTTCTGTTAAGATATAAATGTAAGCAGGTATTTTTTCTTGAAGATTTGAACGAATTCTTTATAAGGCATCTCCTATGGCAAACATTTTAAGCAATTACAAAACCAAGACAGAAATCCTGCTCTCTAAGACTTTGCATTTTGCCACTGAAGAGCACAAAGCAAAGAACACAGGAGTAAGAAAAGAAAGAAAAAATTTAAGACCAGACCTGTGCTATATTGCTAGCCTTTTATTTAGGCATAAGACTGAAGAATATGAAAACCATTTCTAAGCACAAGAATTAAAAAGAGGGTAAACAAAAAATGCAGTGAAATAGTATTTACAAGCAGCTAATATTTGGATTTCCTATGAAAACAGTACGCCAGAAGTCAGCCACAGCAAGATTTAAGGCCAAAGAGTTTGCTCAGAAATAACTACACTTCATATCATTCCCTTTAATGCAAGGAATAATAGGATTATCTCACAAACAGGTTCTGAAAAAAATCTTTAATTCATCAAGTTAAAGGAAGAAAAACATCTGAAAACTAACTTGACATTTTGATAGGCAAATTTTCAGCCACCTGACATTATATTTCTATTTCTGAAAGACAAAAGAATATTGTGCTATTAAGTATTACGCCTTTGCTTCCCCAAATCTTCAAAATGTCAATTATTATAGTTACTGTTTGTTACCAAAAAGTTTGCCAATTTTGAAGTAAAGACAGAAGAGTTTCTAAAATCTAAGGTGTTATCTCTTTGAAACACGAATGTACTTTTCAAGGAATCTGGCCTTAAACAGCTGTGAAATAAGACACAGATTTATGTCATCTCTGTATTAAACGTTTTAAGTATATGCTTTTCCCTTAAAAAATAAAAATGAATACACCTCACTATTTTACACTGCTGGTTTCACAAAGCATTGGTATTTACGTATAAATAATCAAATTAATACCAAATTGGTATTAACGTATAAATAACCAAATTAAACAGTCTCCTCTCTCCAAGGTACACACAACCACCACCGAGCAGGCGGGCAGCAGCG